AATTTTGTTCCATTATTGGTTTGGCAAAGAACATGTTAAGTGGAAATTTGAAAAGAAATGCAATCAATAAATTAAACTTTAAGGAGTTCAAACATTTTGTTTTTTCAATTTTGTTCTTTTTTTTATTCTATATATTTTTTTTATCTTATAAATTTTATATTTTCAAATTTCTTTTTTTCAGACTGAGTTTTATAAATTGTATTTTCTAGATTGCATTCTCTTCACTTCTGGGGGCGGGCTTTCCTCTGGCGTGATTGGTCTGCTGGACGTTAGCAACATTTAAACTTCAGTCTGTTGAGGCATGGGCCGTTTCTCAGTTCACTAGAACACGAGTACGGACTCGTGTCCTCGCCAAGTCCGTTCTTGAGAAGAAGCCAGGAACTTCTGGACTCGGGGAGAACGGGAGCAGAATAAATCTGGGTCATCTGGAGCAGCAGCGTACTGATGACATCACCACAATCAAAGCTAGTCAGGAGCTGCATTTCACCTCCTGTTATTAATAGTCTCTGGATAATAATACATTTTTTTTTTTCATTTAGTGGAAGAATAATAATGAACACAGTCAGATAAACACAAATCAAATGAACATTTTGTCAAATAAAATTATCGCCATCAGAGCCAGCGGTCCTTCACACATGGCTATGCGGGCCAACGTTAGCCCTGGCCGCTGCAGACGGGCCAACGTAACCCTGGCTGCTGGTTGCCGCGGTCCTCTCAACTTCAGAAATGTTTTAAATTACGCATTAAATCAGTAAATGTTCCATATAGTGAAGCTTAAAGTATAATATTCTCGCCTCAAATGATCTTGAAACTTACTTTTATAGAATAACCGCAATAGAAAAGAGAACTTTTAACTGAATCCTCTGAGCTCTGTGAGCGCTAACCTGGAAGCTGCTGCTGCCGCAGTGCATGCTGGGACAGGACTAAGTCGGACCTGTTTTCAGTGTATGTTGGCTGCTCTCTGTCACTGGTCTTGTTCATAACCTGGACAGGACGTCCCACTGGGAGGAGGCCCAGGAGACGGCCAGGACACCATGGAGGGACTGTGTCTCTCTGAGGGCCTGAGCGCCTCGGTCGCTCCCCAGCGGAGCTGGAGGAGGAGTCTGCAGAGAGGGAAGTCTGGGGGTCTCTGCTGAGAATGCCGCCCGTGTGACGCGGTTCCGGATGATGCAGGAGGCGACAAAGAAATTAAGCAAAGTTTCTTTAAAAAGCTTTTTTGATTTTTCTTTTTTCAAGGCTCCATTTACAGAATGTGTTTTTTGCTGCAACAATACTGAAACAAAATTCACTCCATAGAGGCGCTGGTGCTAACCTGTCTGCTAGGTCTGCTAATGCTAACCTTCATCACTAATAACTCATTAGTTCAGATAAAGAGAACTTCAAAAACTTTGAACTTTTGTCTGGAGAAGTTTTTCAGCTCCATCATGGAGCCACATGGACCTGAAAACCACTGAAGGTCACATGACTCCAACCTGCTGTTCCTATTGGTGCAGAATCCTTCCACAGCTGCTAGCGAGGCTTCACTGGGAGTGATACTCCGTAGTTAGCGGTTGGTGTTTAGCGGCGGTTTGGGATTCAGCCGACAACAAAGAGCAGAAACAGAAATCCTTCTCTGTTCTCGATCCGTCGGAGTTGGATAGAAATTCTCAGGCTTTTACTTTGGTAAATCACTTCCGCTTTTCAGTAAGTGAATTTCCATATTCGCTAAATATTTAGCTAGCAACAAGCTAG